AAAGTATATGATTGTATGAATCATCAATAAATAATATATTCATTAAAATATTTTAATATTAATAATGCAATATCCAATTTAATTGAATGTATGTTCAACAGATAATGTATTAAGATAGGATATACATATAATAATATATTAAAGTATGTTAAATTAAAATGTGTGATTACATTATTTTTCTCTTTAATATTATTTATTATTAATCAAAATATCATATCAAATAATTAAATGATATTGACATTAATTCAATCAAATTATTTCAACCTCTATACATATTAATTTAAAAATCATATATAATTCGAAGAAAGTAATTAAAATAAACAATCAATTTATCATTAATGTAATTAAATGATATTGAAGTAAATATTAAGAATGTGTAATAATATAAAATAAAATATTATAATCATCGATAACATGATTAAAATAATAATTGTAGATGACTCCAAGTCCTACAAATATCATTGTGTATTTTAATATGAGAAGAATGATGATATAAAATATATTAATAAAATAGAAAATGATATAATGGACAAAATAAATATTCAAAAAAAATGATTGAAAATAATAAAAATTATCAATAGAATTATATTAATATTTTCAGATATATTGTATCTGTGATTCATTAGTCAATCACTAAATTAGATAAAATTGATCTGTATATTATAAAGAAGATACAAGAGGCAAATATTCACTCAAAATCATTAAGTAAAGATTATATAATAATAAAGGTAAATTATGAGATTGATTAATATTATTAAGAGATGAATATGAATTATAATTAATAAGAATAATAATTATTATGAATTGAAATAATGAAATAAGAGAAATGATAAAAATGAATAAGAAATGAATTTAGAAGAGATTTTATAAAACATATGATAAAAGAATTAATAAAAATGAAAATAATGAAATATAACAAATTATATAAAATAAGAATAACTCATATAAAATAATAAAATATTTAAATAATAAATTTAATGAAATGTATATTAATAAATTAAAATTAAATAATACAAATATTCATTTAATAAAATAATTTGAAAATTAAATGAATGATATGAAGTTGACAAGTAGAATAATGATAAATATTAATATAAAATGAAATTAATATAAATAATTAAAATTAATGTAAGAAAATAGTACATTTGATTAATTAAGAAAGTATTAATTACATAAAATAATAAATTAAAATAATATAGTATTTATAATGATAAAATATCATCAATTAAACATATATTATTAAATTATAATGTATAAATTAATAAACATGATTTAATAAATAAATTGAATGTGATAAATTAAAATATAAAATAAATATAATGAATGAAAATGAAGAATAAAATAAAATAGAATAAAATGAAAATAATATTTAATCAAAATGAAATAAGTAGAATCAAAATAAGAATATAAAATAATGAAGTATTCATAGTATTGAATCAAAAAATAATTAATAAAATTGAATATTTCATAAAAGACTAGATATTTAATATAGAATATAAAATAAAACAAATAAGAATAATAAATGATATAACAATAGTATTGATAAAATGGTAATTCTGATATTTACTAAAAAAATTGAAATGAATAGAACTCTTATAAAAAAATAAGATAAATTAACAAACTAAAAGGAGTAAAAGTAATTCCAGTAGTAATAAATGGATTAATCAATATATAATCATTAAGAATGATAAAAGAATATTGTATTTAATTTGATATGAAATAATGATAAAAGATATAATTATTATCAACATAAAAGATATAATAAAATACTAATGATATTATGGAATTGAATATAGAGAAGTACATCATGAACAAATTATTAAATTAATCAATAGAAAATGAATGATATAATCTCATCTGAGTAAAATGAAATAGATAAATTAAGATTTACTGTTTCTTATTTATTAATTTTTATTTAATTTAATATAATATAATTAATTTTTTTATTTTTATTTTTTTAATTTTCTTAAATTAGAATTTATTTTATTTTTTTCTTTTTATAATAATTTTTTTATGGTACAATTTGACGATAGTGTGATAGCATCATGTAGTACGTAGTGGGAAATTTTGGTCCTTTTGGGATATATAACATTTCTATGTTTTATGTTTTATATAACACTTTTATATATAAATAGATTATGTTTTATATAACAATATTTATATTTATATTTAGAATATGGAATTCATCTTTTTTTGACATCTGGGTACATTCTTTTGAGGTATTCTTTTCGTATTTTGAAGTATTACACTTTTTGTATTTTCAATTTTATGAAGTATTACACTTTTTGAAGTTTTTGAATTTAATTTTTATATATTTTTTATCTTAAATAACCATTCAATCAATGTCATTCAGAAATAATAATATTAAAATTAATAATTATGAAGAAAATCGTCGTCGACGCCAAAGACGACGAATTACAATGCAAAAGAAAGACTATGAAGAGTTGGAAAGAAAAGAAACTGACTCTCATAGATCTTCTGGCTTCGAAACGATCGGGGATCGTGTTCGACAACGTAGAGAAGCAGTGAAATCGTTTAATTAACGATTTCTTCGAGAGAGGGAGACTGGACGTCTTGACTTAGAAAATATCGTCAAGACGTGAAGAAGCTATTGCCTCTCTTGAAAGAAAAAGAAGAAATACCCGCACTATTGGAGAGTACGGAACTACTTCTATTATTGGTGGTACTGCTGATAATAGAGTAGTTAGCGGAGCTAGTGTTGGTACTACTTCTTTAATAGAAGATCCCCAATTAGACTCCTCTTTTGTCCCTCCTCAAAATGCCCCCTCTGACCCCTCTCAAGAAACCCCTTATGCCCCACCTATTATAGCCCAACCAGC